TTAAATAGCACCTGGTTCCTTGCTTATCTATTAAAAAAAACAAAACTAATAAGTGTATTTCAATAATTCTGTAATGTATAACAAATATCGGGTACACAAGTTAACAAGATATTAAATATTATAATGCCTCTGAATTGACTCGCTGCATGAGGATTTACAAAAAATGAGCATGAGAAAACTTTAATCTCTACAACCAATTTGATCATAAATAAGGAGGGCTGGACAATCAAAGACTTTTTTTAGGTTCGAAAACCTTTTAGAAAAAGAGCAATAAAACAATCAGAAAATGCATAAATATATAATTTATGATAATAGAACTAGATGCTCATAAGCCAAAACGCTCACACTAGTCAATAATAGGGTCCATGTGTCCCTTATATCAGCTGATTTTTTTCCATTCTATTTTCTTTAGTAGAATTTTTCTCCCTATTTTAACCATCCCTCCCCCCGGCGTCATGATTTCATTAAACTTTAATCTACTCTACTTGAAAATGCTTCCATATATTACTATGACCCCCAGCTACACCCCCTTGACATTATTTGATTAAATTTGAGTCTTCATTACTTGCAGATTTTAACATATCAATTTGACAAAACTTTTTCTGTTCTGGAGAATTTTTCTTCCTATATATTGTTATGGAAAACTTTGATCCCTCATTGTGGCCCCGTTCTACACGCCGGGTCATGATTTGAACAAATTTGAATCTACAGTTCTACAATACCTGGGGATGCTTCCATATGAGTTTCATCTTTCTTGGTCCAATTGCTCTGGAGAAGATTTTTAAAAATACAATTCATTTTTCATTAATTCATAATTATCTCCCCTTAGAAGAGGTCTTGGCCCTTCATTTGAACAATCTTGAATCCCCTTTACCCATGTATGCTTTGTGGCAAGTGTGGTTAAAATTGGCTCAGTGGTTCTTAAGAAGAGGTCCAAAATGTGAAAAGTTTACAGACAGACAGTCGAACAGCTAGACAGACATACTACAGCCAAAATGTGATCAGAAAAGCTCAGGTGAGCAGAGAAACCTACACTACCTAAGGATGGTTTCATATTAATATAAGTAAACATATATCTGTGTTCTCTGGGAGAATATTTTTGAAGACTTTTCTGGAAAAGAAGTCCAAAATGTGAAAAGTTTACAGATGGACGAAGAAAACAAAATGTGATTAGAAAAGATAACTTGAGCTTTACATTCAGGTGAGCTAAATTTCATATTTCATATTCTGGATCTCTTTGATAATTTGTTGATCAAACAGCCTCCTTAAAAATTAATCTTAAAATAACTTTAGGTGTATAGAGAATGTACATGATGTACAAAAAACAAAATAATATAAATAAAAAACAAGTTTGGAAGGATATGCATGGCAAAATCAGAGATGACTCAAAACTAAATGTTAACAGAGCTAAACCTATAATAATAATAATAATAATAATAATATGTATATATATATATATATATATATATATATATATATATATATATATATATATATATATATATATATAACAAATTATAAAGAAAAAAACATAAAAGGATACATCCTCAAAAATGACACTTAGAAAAAATACAATTAAGAGTAATAAATGAATCAACAAAAAGCTGGTAAGAAAAAAAAACAAATGAAAAGAGAATTATGTTGAAATATTATCATTAAAGCTGAACACAACTTGTAAATAGCAAACACCATTTTCGATATTATCTATGATACATGAATACCAGGGTATACTTGTCGCATTTGTTACACCTGACTGCTTTATTGTCATGGGTATCCGCATGGAATGGTGACCCATGTTAGTGCTGGTTATCTAATTCTTGCATTACCTTTATTTACATTTCTTGAAGTCACTTTTATCTGTGTTGTTTGTATACTACACTGACCTGTACAAGTATACTGGTAATTTTGGGGGGTATTTTACTTTCCTGCATTAGAAGAAGTATTACATTATTCTGGCAACTGAGTGCTGTATAACATATGTTGGTCTGAACCTGCCCTGAACACTGACTAAGTCCTAGCCTTTTTATAGGGGTCGAGAGAGTAGCGAGAATCGGGAACAAAAAAGATGGACACATTCATTTTACGAATCATGTTCAGTTTTAACATATGTATGTTTGAGAAAAAGTTACAACTAAAATTTTGTAAGGTCATACATCTTTGGAAAATTTGGCATGATCTTTTATCCTACTTTAATCTGTGTTACATATCCATAAGTCTTTGATAACTTGATCTGTATTGTGTACAAATTTTTTAAAGAAAACCTCACAACAAAGGAATCAATCATTTCAGGTCATCTTAGCATTAATGTGTGTGCTGGTTATCTAATTCTTGCATTATCTTTGTTTACATTTTTTGCAGTCACTTTTACCTGTGTTTAACATCTTCCATGCATGTCTAATCAATATAGGACATAGAAGTACTTAAAAAGAAAACTGCCCCAAAAAACTTAATCTTAACCCGGGACGCCGAAGCCGAAGTTATAACATAAGCTCCCCCAACTTCATTGAGGTGAGCTAAAAAGAAAAATACATTATCTATAGATGGATTGACAATAGTTAAAAAAAGCTGTCTAATGATTCTTCATTTCTTTTGGTTCTGTATGCATCAAATTCCTTCTTTGCTTTGTTAAGCATTGATGTATCTGCACAATGAATTTTATCGGCAAGGACTATGCTTTGCATCAAAAGAAGTGGCCCAGTAACCTGAGCAGGATAGGGCAAAATCCCTAAATAGTAAAGCCCCATCATTGAAAGAATTGCCTCTTCTGCACCTGAGCACTTTAACAGGACATCCTCCTTCTCCATAACCATGGTGGACGTTCTGTTTCCTATAGTATTATGTAAAATCCAGAAACCGCTGGACGTCCTGTGGGACTGCGCTACATCTGTCCAAATTTCTGAACTCTAGATAAGATGTAATTATGAATAAATATTAAATTACATACATATAAGCAAATTTTTCCCCTATCAGATTCAAGGGTAGGATGTTTCTGTCTTCAATGTCATATATAAAATATTTATTGATTGTTATGATTTAGGTGTTCAAATGTGATTTCTGAAAATTTAATAATTTACCTTGACGACATGCACTAGATGGTGACCAGGTTTTAACTTCCCCCCAGATTTTGTATTGCCACAAAGTATTGGGAGATGGAACAATGCCACTAGATATTTTTCATCTAAAAAAAATTAACCATATAATTATTATCAATCACACTGGAATTTTATACTTTCTACTAAAATTTCTTTACACCTCAGTAACTTCCAAAATGTACAAAATACCCTATTTTTGCAAAATAAATTAATTAGCAATTAGTGAATTACATAAAAAAATGTATTAAATATTACAAAAATTATTCAAACTTGGTTTTCTGACATCCAGCAAAATGCCAATCAAAGTTGGATTGTGTTTGCTTATTCTTGTTCAATTCTTGATGCATCATACAAGAAAACTATCAAATTAAATTTGATTTACATGTAAATCTAGGACTTGCATCATACTTGCTATGATTACCTGTGGTTGTCAGTGTTGATCTTGCTACTTTGATTATTCCTTTCTCAAATAACATGTCTAAGGATGTGGTTAAGAACTCCTTTAATTTCCCTTTCATATTGTCCATTTCAACAGGTACCTGTATATACATGTTGTAGATGACCTAAAATTTAAAACATATTTTACAAATCAAAACTTCACCCCAATCCAAATTGCTAGCTGTTTAATAAGGTAAAAACCTATAAATATTGAATACTTTTGTCATAAAGCATTGCATCCTTTGTTATATCTGACATCACAATTTAAAAGCTTCTGGAATGTTAGCATTTAATTTGAAATTTGCAGGAAGAAGAAAGAAACAAAACAAAAATTCTCAAATTTATTGCTGAAGAACTGAGGCTTCATAGCAAAATAAGAAATTTAAAATGTTACTAGTAACTATTATATAATAAATCCAATGTCACTGTGCCAAAATGCTGTTTTCTCAATATGAAATGATGATTTTAAGTGAAAACTGTCATACTAAATAGTTGAAAATGGAAGTACTGTATACATATGAAACTTACATTGGCTGGACAGCTGAAAACTTTGTAAAGTCTCATTATTGACTTTAAACGGTCCTTTAATGGCATGGCTTCAACCTCCTTCACTCTAGCCTCCAGAGATAGTCTGATAAGTTGCTGAATATCTTCTGATGTAGTTGTTGTAGATATTCTTTTTAAGGCATTCATCAATGATACTTTACCCTTGTCTACAACCTCACTCTTTTCTTTAAAAAAAAAGGTTGACATATACTGCTATATTTATCTCAAGCAATCATTAAAAATATATTTTGTTTGATGTACTCCAACCCACATTTTTCAGGTGGGTAGGTTGTTAGTTTTTTGTTTATCAAGTTGATAACTGTCATAAAAAAATCACAGACTCAGAAATTTATTGGTATTTTCAATACACACTGGATAGCTAGACAGAATTAATATTTCATTGCTATGAAACATTTCTATCTTAGAGAAATTATATATCTTACCTTTAAACTAAAACAATCTCTATTTCTAATGCAAGCTAAATATAAAAAAAATAATAAAAATTCAAAGTGCTGAAAAAATAATTGAGTAAGGGTGATTTTGTTGGGTCAGTCGGAGTACATCTAACAAATAATTTTTTTTGTAAGCCTACTCACAGAAATTTAAACAAGATTTTATCTGCTCTATGTGCCATTTGTTCTTTAAGCAAAACTAGTTCATGTATTTTCTGCATATTCATTTTTACCTTTTTCTCTTTGGCCTTTTTCAAGAACCAATATCTCTGGCTCTCCATCCAATGGATAATTTCCCTTGCTGCCTCCTTCCTGAACTTCTCCTTCCCTGCCTCTCTTTCTGCCTCCTTCCTGAACTTTCCCTTCCCTGCATCGCTTGCAGCCTCCTTCCTGAACTTCCCCTTCTCTGCCTCCCTTGCTGCCTCCTTCCTCTCTTGCCGCCTCCTTCCTGAACTTTCCCTTCTCTGCCTCCCTAGCTGCCTCCTTCCTGAACTTGCCCTTCCCTGCCTCTCTTGCTGCCTCCTTCCTGAACTTCCCCTTCTCTGCCTCCCTTGCTGCCTCCTTCCTGAACTTTCCCTTCCCTGCCTCTCTTGCCGCCTCCTTCCTGAACTTCCCCTTCTCTGCCTCCCTTGCTGCCTCCTTCCTGAACTTTCCCTTCCCTGCATCTCTTGCTGCCTCCTTCCTGAACTTCCCCTTCTCTGCCTTCCTTGCTGCCTCCTTCCTGAACTTTCCCTTCCCTTCCTCTCTTGCTGCCTCCTTCCTGAACTTCCCCTTCTCTGCCTCCCTTGCTGCCTCCTTCCTGAACTTCCCCTTCCCTGCCTCTCTTTCTGCCTCCTTCCTGAACTTCCCCTTCCTTCCTCTCAAGTTCTTCTTGCTCTTCTTCATTATCTTTCAATTCTTCTTGAAGTTCTTCAGAATTGTTTTCCCCATTCTTTTCCTATATAAATATTGCAAATTCTAAGTGAGACATGACTGCAATTTGTTGCAAATATAAAAAAACTGAAATGTATTTTTTTTTCAATAAACACATGCATAATTAATTTCAATTATATTATACAATACTTATTCAGTTTTAATCATACACTAAAACATCAATTTGTTTTAATTACATTACACCAATTGAAAGATCTTTATCTTAACTACAGCCATCAAGAACTCTTAAATAAACACAAGCAACTATAAGGCCATTTCTTTTTGCCCAACTCCCAATAGATAAATTAAGATAATACAGCATGATCAGATCTAGAGATGCTCTTGCCAGTTAACTCCCGACAATGAACTCATTAATTTCTCTCTAATTTGACATGCACATTTCTGCTATCAAAAATTCTCCTTGACCAGTGCTTCATAATTATGCCCATATGGGACAAACTGAATTCCTCTCAAATCATTAACATTTGTTACAGAATTTGTTGTAAAGTATATGATGAAAAAATAAGTTTTAACTTAATTTTAGCATTTTTTGATAAGGATACAACTATATTTTTACATTTTTTAGGATTATGAAATTTAAAATTTTTAAAGACATAGGTTTTTTTAAAAAATCACTTAAATTAAAGGTCACAGTGACCTTGAAATAGGTCGTGACACACCGTCTATCCAAGATGCATAAATTGTCCAAGTTTGATGACTGTAAGTCTAATAGTTTTCTAGTTATGAGCCAAACAAAATCACAAAATAAAAAAGAACAAGAGGCCCATGGGCCACATCGCTCACCTGAGTAACTTGGGTGATGCAGATCTTTTTAAAAGATTTGTTCTATTATATATATTTCTATGTAAAACTTGGATTCCCCATTGTGGCCCCGCCCTACACCCAGGGGTCATGATTTTAGCAATTTAATATCTACACTACCAAAGGATTCTCCCACATAAGTTTCAGCTTTCCTGGCCAAGTGGTTCTTGAGAAGAAGATTTTTAAAGATTTGTTCTATATATTTCTATGTAAAACTTGTATTCCCTATTGTGGCCCCGCCCTAACCTCGGGGGTCATGATTTTTACAATTTAATATCTACACTACCCAAGGATGCTTCCACATAAGTTTCAGCTATCCTGGCCAAGTGGTTCTTGAGAAGAAGATTTTTAAAAGATTTGGTCTATATATTTCTATGTAAAACTTGGATTCCCTATTGTGGCCCCGCCCTACCCCCGGGGGTCATGATTTTAACAATTTGATATCTACACTACCCAAGAATGCTTCCACTTAAGTTTCAGCTTTCCTGGCCTAGTGGTTCTTGAGAAGAAGATTTTTAAAAGATTTGGTCTATATATTTCTATGTAAAAATTTGGATTCCCTATTGTGTCCCCGCCCTACCCCCGGGGGTCATGATTTTAACAATTTAATATCTACACTACCCAAGGATGCTCCCACATAAGTTTCAGCTTTTCTGGCCCAGTGGTTCTTGAGAAGAAGTTGAAAATGTGAAAAGTTTACAGACGGACGGACGGACAGACGGACGGACGCCGGGTGATCAGAAAAGCTCACTTGAGCTTTCAGCTCAGGTGAGCTAAAAACTCCTGTAAAATGCAGAAAAATCATCCAATCATGATGAAAATCCCAGGCGCACACCTTCATATGGTGAATAATAAGTGTATAAATTTTCAGACAAATCAATCTAACAATTTCTGAGAAACAGTCCGGACAAAATCTTGTCTACAGAGGAAGGGACAGATGGACAGACGGACGGAAATGGTGATTCCAATAAACCCCCCTAAACTTCGTTTGCGGGGGTATAAAAAAGTCTTAAAAGACCAACCATATATACAGTGTTTTGCGTTTACCCCTCTCCCTTACAAATAGATGAAATATGTTTTCTCAATCAAAACAAACTATATCTGCCCATTCTTAAGGGCTTAAAGGGGGAAGGGATTTTTGGTTACATCAACAATGAATCGGGCTTCATACTCATTTTTACCTGTTTTTTAATGCAATTATATCCTTTCTTCCTTCCTTTTGTGGATACGGGTGGCGTGATGTTGTACATCCTTCTCCTTAGAAATCCCACCAATGAATTCTAGTCCATTTTTAAGGAAACAAAAAGAAATCAAAGGTAAAAAAACTGAAGTTATTATAAATGATCATCACTTTTAAGATTTTAGAGATTAAAGAATGTAACATAATTGCTTACATAATTATTTCGAAGCCCCTCAGATGGTCTATCCCTAAGGATTGGATATTGACTGGCCATCTGTCTTGCTAACATCTGAAGTTCAGCCTCTGATGGCCGACCCCCATTTTGGCCGATCAAAGAATCCATAGATATTCTGACTATGCGCCGTCTCTCTGTCTCAATGCTCTGCTTAGAATGGTGGGTTGGATTATCTAAGATTTCAGACTTTGGAATAAGGTACATGTAGTCATCAGTTGTTGCAAGCCTCATTGATGCAAGCTTCTTAGGCCTTTGTATTTGTGGTAAATAAGGTGGTGACGCTGACCTTTTTCTTTGGAACTGGGGGGAATCTGAGCCATCAGCACCATCATCATTCTCATGCTTCAAAGTAACGTCAATTTTGTGTAAAATTTTGTGTAATATTAAAAATTATTAAATTTTTCTGCATTTAACAAACTTCACAAAAAATTTGGTTGTGATTCTGGAGAGATACTCCAAGCTGCTCACTTAAAATCTTTGTGGGTCATTCTTTGTGGTTCATATACAATTCTCTTTAGAAAGTTAAAAAACATTGATCTAGGCCAGGTCTGATACAATCGCTAGATTTAGCTAGTTGCTACGTAGCTTGATTTACCTACTTAGCTTCATTTACCAACCTGATGTAGCTTTATTTGGCTACCAAATCAATTTATTTCTATAAAAATGCATTTTTCTAAGGGTGTAAAGAAAATATCATTTTGATTCAGAGATCATTTTCAACTTTGAATTCATCTGAAAACAATTCATAAAACAATCCCTCTGGAAGAAATTCTTTTTCAGCACAATTGCAATCAAAGTTCTGAAAGTTTTGGGGCTATGTATGACAAAACAGTTACTCCTTGTATGCAATGACAAAGAAGTCCAGTTCCGGTTAACATGATAGTAGGTTGATAATTATTCAGCAAAATGTAAAGTTATCATACCCAGCCTTGCCTAGCTGCACCCATGAGAAAGGACAGTTAACCAAACTATGGAATTACATGTTTTGCTCTAAAATGTCCAAAGGCAGAAATTTATAAACCATCTCTTTGTTTTTTAAACCTCCATAGTATAAATATTTATAGTCATTTAATTGCGATTTTTTTCTGTCTTTTTAATAAAGAGAAATTTTGAAAAGTTACAATGAAATAGCTAAATAAAGCTCCCCGAGGTAGGTAAATAAAGCTAAGTAGGTAATTCTACCTACGTAGCTAAATCTGGTGATTGTATTGGACCTGTAGCCATGCTTTATAGATTAAAATTAAATTATTCTTACCAGCTCTTCCAAAAATTTTCTAATTTGTTTTCTTATTTTAAATGATGTTGAAAGATCTTTAAGATCTTGTTCATTTAAGTCCAAGAAGGTCCTTCCATCGATGTCATTTTCTATCATGAAAAAAAAATCAACATAACAGGTCTAGTACAATACCCTGATAAAAAGATAAGGCTATTTAGCTTTATCAAGGTTTTATAAATACCTTGATCAAGGTATTTTATGTAATGAAAATTCAAAAAAAAATCTTTAAAAATTAAATACTTAAAGTAGAACAGTTTTTGATATAAAAATCAGAACACTGAGTTGTCATTAAATTTTTTACACATATACTGCACCTGATATCAGTGTATAAAATATATAAATTTGGTAGATCGGCAAGCGTGTGCTCTATGTTTTCCGAAAGAAAATGTGCTGTAAAATTAGTGAAAATTTGCATAAAAATGAGTCATTAAATTATTCAAAGGCTTGGAAGCCACTAGAGGGTTCAATACATGTGCGACCTCTGTATATTCTTAATCTTAAAACCAGTACTCATTTTGTGACAGGGGTGAAAACAGGTTTTCATGGAAAGTACTCAAACACAAAGAAATCAGTACAAAAACATGTCATGTGAGGAGATATTATATTATGCTTTCTTTTTGATGGAACATACTAAAGACCTGATATTTTGTCCTGATAAAACTAGAACTGTCAAAACAGGACAAAATATGTATCAAACATGAATTATGAAATTTTTCTTCCAATGACCTTGAACTTCCCCAAATTACCATGGGTCAAGGTTATGACAACACTTGGATCATGGGCAATCTTTGTGTGAAATGAGAACCTACCAAGTTTATTCATAAGACAGATATGGACCTGACACTAATTATGAAATTTTTCTTCAAGTGACCTTGAAGTTCCCCAAATGACCTTGGGTCAAGGTCATGACACACCCTTAGATCATGGGCAATCTTTATGTGGAGTAGTAGATTCTAGCTTTATCAAGCTATATATCTTTATCAGGGTATTGTGCTGGACCTGCATAATGAATTAAGGAGGCTCATTACACCACTTTTTGATGACGTACGTACTACACAAAAAAATAAACCTCCATTGTGTCGACCGGTTTCCTCTGGGGACGAATTCTACAGGTACCTCTATAATATGACCCTGACCTTTAAATCGCTTTCAAAATAGATGAAACATGCGGAGCTGCTTTTCTGTTTCGCCTTATCTGATTAGTTAGATATTTAAACTGTATTACAATCAACCAATCAGATAAGGCGAAACAGAAAAGCAGCTCCAAAACCTCCTCCAAAGCTGTCAATGGAGAAAATCTATGTATCCGATCAATAAATCGTTCCATTACGGGCATATCAAACGGTAATAGCGGGGTTTAGGTTTAAGAGACTAGTAAAAGAACATCTCCCAGACAGATTGCTTGCAATATTATGATAGGTAACACTAATTATTACCTTGGAAATCTGTCTCGAAGTGGGGAACCCCCCGTTTGTTTACAACTTTTGTTTCTTACCTTGTGTATTTTTATTATACCGAATAGGGCCATTTTTTAAACGTGAGAAAAAGTACAATTTGCTTGCATATAACAACATATAGATGTGTTTGACGGGGAAATTTAATATTTTCGAGGTATTATACACTCTTACATTTTTTTTCATTAAAAAAAGGGGGGGGGTATTATCCATACTTCAGGTGCCTGTGGTATAACATGTAACGTTAACATTACAAGGTGAAATTTAAAGTTTTTTGGGTGATTAACAAATACCTCCAATTATTGTAAGGATTTCTTCAGAAGCCCCTTTCTTCTTCAGCCATTCACAAATCTTCGGGGGATCAAAATCTTCGAATCCTTCCATATTTTCCGCCGAATGTATATTTGATGTCATGTGGAGAAAGGACAAATCAATTCGTGTTGAGATTAGTCGCGCAATTCATCTACATGTATATTCACAAATAAGTATTAAGAAAGCTAGTCTGGAAAAATCTTTCAAAAGATACTTAAAATATTATTTTTGTTTGTTTCATCCGTGTTAAATGATAATTTGAAGGTTATTTTGTTGCTTATTCTCTGAAGAATGCAATATACGACTAGGTCTATTGTACGACTTAATATTGATGAAAGGAAGTGTTTACATATTATGAAATATCAATATGGGCTGGAGATGCTCAATTTGTGTTATTTTCGTGGCAGTGACTTTGCGAATTTTGTTGAGGCATATCTTCTCAGAACATTCACATAACCCGAATTTCCAGGTAGAGTGCGGTGTTTCTGGATGCAAACAAATATATCGTAAATACAATTCTTTGTATCGTCACACGATGAAACACCACATAGACATGATGGATGCAGGTCCTGATGTAAACAACGAAATGAATGACGCACAGAAGGATCGTATCATTAACAACAACAACTCGATTGAAGACATGAATGATATAGAGATGGTGAGACCGCTTTTCCTGTTTAATTTGTGCAGGTCCAGTCCAAAGACTATTTCTACCTAAGTAGCTATTAATAGCTACCTAGGTATTTAAAGCTACCCAAAGTAGCTATTTTTACCTACTCTATATAAATTCTGCATTTTGCGACACTAAGACCAAACAGTGCAACATGGTGAATACCATATCTTTTGATACAAGCACACTAATGATGAATACGACAAAATTTTTTCCAGAAAATGATTACTTCCTCAATCGGCAATTTTACATTAGTTTCTATAAGTTTTTATAAAAATATGTTTTTTAATGAAATATATAGTGTAAAAATAAAATTATGTCTCACTTATGGCCAGGTTTTACCTGTTCGCAGGAGTCTGTTTGCGTGGAATTTTTTTCGCCCAATATCTTGTTTGCCCTATGGTTTGCCCAATTCTTATTTATAGATAAGAAATTCTAATATATATACTTGTAAATATGTGAATCATAAACATACAAGGTAGTTTATCATTCTTTCTATTTAGTTCCCTCACAAACTTTTTTTTCCCTCAAATTCTGATAAGAAGAGCAATGTTTATTTAGTCAAAATAGTTTTTAATTTTTTCAAAGGACCAAGTGTTTGCGCTATAGTTAATTAGATGATTAATATCAATGTTAATTAAGGGGATAAATCCGTGTTATTTTTACTAATTGCCCTATGTTTTGAAAACAATGAAAGGACTGAGATGAAACAGTAGGTGTGATGGCTGGTACTATTACATAACGTCTGATGGACACAGTGACGGTCTGTTTTATTTTGAATGTACAAAAAAATTAGGAAAGAAATTCATTAGATTTTTTTCTGCATTAAATTACGGCAAACAGACCCTGTGCGAACAAGTTTTTTGGCAAGCTGACTCTGGGCGAACAAGAAATAGGGCGAACAGGAAACTGGGCGAACAATTGTTAGGGCAAACAAACATGGAACCATTTGTGATTGTCATTGAAGCATCAGCTCAGTATCACTATGAATTAATTAGACTTTTCTTAACTTATTTTAATCAAAATAATTAGAAATTTTTAAGATTTATAACAATAAACATGTGTGCAAAAATTTATATATATTTATTAAGAAAAAATCACAAAGTTGACTTTGAAATCCTACGTTAAAGTACTGTCATTTATATTTATAAATCAGACTGTCAAAATATTTTTAAAATATTGAACCAAGGTATTATGGTTTTGTAGGCTAATGATGATGGTTATCGTGAGCATGAAGAAGATGATTTTGATGTGAATGATGTTGAAAGAGCTCATAGTTTTGATAAACGCAAAGCTGTGTCTTTCATAATCAATCTGAAAGAAATGCATCGGATACGTGAGGTTTGTATTGTAGATATTAGTTCCACATTGAACCGATTTTAATTACTGTGCATAGGTGCACATAGAGTTGAACTCTCATCACTTCTTTTTAGACAGCTGCAGAAGATGTTGCAAGTAGAGTAAACAATATTGTTGATAGTTACATCAACATATTGAAAAGAAGATTATACAATTATATGCAAGGGCTAGACAATGAAATTCCAGAGCACACCTTTAATGATTTATTTCACATAGAATTACCTTTCAATGGTGTGGTGACAGCTCACGAACGAAAAAAATATATCAAGGAAAACTTCCTATATGTTGTGAGTACATAAACTTTTTTCCTTATTTTTGTTAAACATAATCATGATAATAGAATTATGATATTTATTTACTTTCACCAGCTGAATAATAATGATATATCGATAATGCATATGACACTGAGGATTTTGCTGTATTTTTCTGTTTTTCTAAAAATAATTTCCAATTGACTATATTATTTTTAGTTACTAAAAACCTTGATTATGTTCATTTAAAACAATGTAATCTGACAATTATGTATGCAAATTTAAGTTGATTTTGTCTGTTTGAGCAAATATTTATATACTGAACAAAAAAAGAAATGCATAATCACAATAATATGAAATTCTAAGTTTTCAATATCAATGAAAATAGGCAACTGATTTAGAAGAAATCATGAAAAACACTACTTTCATAAACATGTTTAATCAAGGGAGATAATTCAAATCAATACAAGTTTATAGGTCAACTAGACAAGAACTTAAGGACGCTCTAAACACTGCACACTAAAAAGCTATATTTATTGGGTAGTTTTATGCAGTTAGAGTGATCTGCCCTTAGATGTAAAATTAAAGAAATAGCTATTTACTGTTAATTACATAATTTATAAAAGATTAAAATATTTTTGGCATGATATAAGACCAAGAGTAAGTTATTTAATTAATTATTTTCATTAATTTTCCAAATGTAAGTAAGCAACGGTGATTTCTGCTCACAAATAGTCCATTGTCTTTGAACATTTTTTCTGCGCAAATAAGGCACGTACCCTATGTTCTAAATGAATGAAAAAGTCTCAATATGAATATCTTTATATTATGTATGTTTTTCTGAGTCCTAAAAACAGTTTCTGTTAGTGTTTAGAGCTTCCTTAAGTAGATCAGATCTTGACCTTTCTTTTTTTTTAATTTAACTTCTGCAGGAACCAGAGACAGTGCATGTTGGCCAAAGGCTTCGAGTACTTCGGCAGAGAGGACATGCTAACTTGGATGTTGTGAGAGACACATTCATATATATCCCACTTACTGAAAGCATTGAACAACTTCTGCAAAATAAAGATATACTTGAACTTGTTATTAACCAGCCCACAGAAAGAAATGACAGGTTTTATTCCGATATTCAAACTGGTTCTGTTTATTGTCAAAATGTACATTTCCAACAAAACCAAATAGCTTTGCCAATTGTTTTATACTTTGATGACGTTGACATCTGCAATCCAATGAGTAAGCGTGCAGGGACACATAAAATTGGTTTATTTTATTACAGTCTTGGAAATCTACCAGTTTCATATCGATCCCGATTGCCAGCAATACGTTTGCTAGCAGTTATAAAAAGGAATATCATGAATAAACATAATATAAATGTTGTGTTAGAAAGAATTAAAAAAGATTTAGAAACTTTGTCCACTGGAATAACATTGAACATTCATGGAAATGAGTATAATATAGTTGGATGGTGTCTCTGTTTTGTAGGAGATACTTTAGCTGCCCATGAATTTGGGGGTTTTAAAACAGGTGTTGGTTTTGCATTCCAAAAATGCAGAAGTTGTGAATGTACATTTAATGATATGCAAGAAAATTTTGAAGAGCACCTTTTTATTGAAAGAAACTTAGATCGTTATGATGACCAATGTTATGAACTTTCAATGGCACAAACTCTGTCAGTTAGAGATGTCATTTCTCGGTCCTATGGAATCAACTTCAGAAGCTTAGCTCGTGATTTTCCAAATTTTGACTTAACCCAACAAATTCCTTATGATATTATGCATGTTATCTTTGAGGGAGTTGCAGTATATGAGATTAAGCTAGTTTTAAAAGTTTTATTAGATGAAAGATTTATTGTGATTACAGAGATGAATAATTTAATAGAAAATTTTTCCTATGGTTATGCAAATAGAAGTAGTCAACCAACTTCGATTCCAGCTAAAGTCATCAATGGAAATGAAACAACTCTAAAACAGTCTGCTTCAAGTATGATAGTCCTTATGCGGTTGCTTCCTTTTTTTCTCATTGATAAATTAAACTGTCCTTTCAATAACCAGTACATTAAGTTTTTGATAGAGTTGTGTGAAATTACATTGATACTATTGTCTCCAATAATATCTTATGAATCAGTACAAATGTTACGATTTATGATTTCAAGTCATTTAAGACAATTTAAAGAACTGTTTCCGGATAAAAACATTATTCCAAAACAGCATTATTTAATACATCTCCCATCAACAATAGAAAAGTTTGGTGCTCTTTGTAATGTTTGGACAATGAGATTTGAATCTAAACATAATTTTGTTAAGGAAAGGATGGCTGGGTGTCACAATTTTAAAAATATTGAAAAATCTATTTCTGAACGTTTTGCAATGTATGAATGTTCTTTGAATTTATGCGATAAACATCCATTGTTTAACAATGATTGCATGTTTGGGAAAACAAAACCCATTCATCAAATTGAGTACTGTAAAGAGAAATTAGAAAGTTTTTTTTGGTATTGATGCAAATCAAGTTAGGTCTATTCATGAGGTAAGTTGGATTTTGTACAAAGGTCAAAAGTTTGTATGTAACCAATGTGAGATTGCATTTGGTATTGCAAATGGCATGCCTGAATTTGGGACTTTGAAATCAATTTGGATTACTGAGGAACATACTGATGACTTTGAATTTCAACGTATTTACTTTAACTTACAAATGTTTGAAACTTTGAGTTTCAATGAAGAAATCCTTTCATATCATGTAGATAACCCTGATATACCTCAAGGAAATGAGCTCATACACATAGATAACATGTTGATTCATTGCCCTTTGCATGTTTATAGGGGTAAGCACCAAAAATGTTATATTCCTATACCATTTGATTTTGTTGATCTGATCCACAAAATGACTGTTACTCACTAAGGAGGCTTATTTGATTACATATTTGCCTATATTTTTGAAATTGCAGTTTACTTATTGTTATTAGCTCAAATGAGTTCAATTGAGCTTTTCTGATCATTGTCCTGTCGTTTTTAGCTCACCTGAGCTGAAGGCTCAATTGAGCTTTTCTGATCACATTTTCTCTTTCATCTGTCCGTCTGTCTGTCTGCCCGTCTGTAAACTAATTCACATTTTTGACTTCTTCTTAGGAATCACTGGGCCAATTTTGACTAAACTTGGTGCAAAGCATCCTTGGTTGAAGGGGAATTAAAATTGTTAAAACGAAGGGCAAAGTCCCCTCACAAGGTTAGATAATCAAGAAAAGACAAAAAAAGGGTTGGGTTATTAAAAAATCTTCTCAAGAACCACTAGGCCAGAAAAGCTGAAACTCATGTGGAAGCATACTGGGTTAGTGTAGATTCTAAATTGTACAAATCATGACCCCTGGGGATAGGGTGGGACCACAATGGGAAACCAAATTTTTTCATAGAAATATGTAGGAAAATTCTTTAATAATGATGAAACTTACATATAGGGATGCATTCTCAGGTAGTGTAGATTTAATTTTTTTCAAGTCATGACCCCTAAGGGTAAGGCCAGGCCACAATGGCCAATCAAAGTTTTACATACAATATATATAGGGAAATTATTAATACAAACATTTTTTTTGAAGAATAACAAACATCATTGATCATATTTATATGGAAGTACCCTCATGTAGTGTAGATTCAGGTTTGTTAAAATCATTACCCCTGGGGATAGAGTGGGGCTTCAATGGCCGATCAAGTTTTACATAGAAATATATAAGTGAATTCTTTAAAAAATCTTCTTTTCAAGAATCGCAAAGCTATGATAATAGTCATATTCATATGGAAGCATTCTCATGTAGTGTTAATTCAAATTTGTTCCAAGTCATGATCCCCCGCGGTATGGAGGGGCCACAGTGTAAGTTCAAATGTAAAGTGCAGTAAATTCCACAGGTAGTCAAAGAAATATGCAAGCATTGTTAGTTTGTGTAGATTCAAGTTTGTTTATTTCATACCCTCTCTCCTTTAAGGATTGGTTGGGACCTGCACTTTTGGGTTGTTAAATTTTTCAATAATTATCTAATTTCTGCTTTTTTCCGATTTAGGTGCAGTGCTCAGGTGAGCGATGTGGCCCATGGGCTTCTTGTTTCATATGCAATGTAAAAATCAAACAGGATAAATTATCTAAATGTATATGGACTAGTTTGTTATGTGGGCTATCATGTTATTTATTAAGTTATTTATCTATGTATAATTGATAATATATATATCCATTATATAATATATATATAATAGTTACAGTATCCAGCAATAAATATTTATAAGAAAAGAAACTTGTGTTGTTTTTTTTCTTTTTTTAAATATATATAACTGTATTTTTTCAGTGGTTCTATTCTACTGATATATTGATCTGTACATCTGATAAAATTGATCTGTACATCTTAGTACATGTTTATAAAATATAAATTGTATTTCAATATAAATATTGAATTTCATCTGATCCAGGGAGCACCAGGCACCCGAGGTGAAGATATATCTATGAGTGTCTCTGCATGAGGAGGCATTACCTCCAGTTTTTTAAATAGATTAATGAAATTAAAAAAAAATATGTGTTTGTGAAACACTATGCAGTCGTCAGCACAGAGTTAAAAACAACTATTTTTACCATATAGGTCACAAGGTACCTTGGTATCATTTGAAAGTACTTGATTAGTGGAGTGTACGTATGCATACCAAATATGAAGTCCCTATCTCTCATGCTTCAAAAGTTGTGGTTAAGATTCAAAGAAAGCTATTTTTAGTATATACGTCACAGCCAAGGTCACAAGGTCATTAAATTTGGTGTAATTTGAAAGAGCTTAATTAATGAGTGAAGTAAGCATACCAAATATGAAGTCTCTATCTTTCATGGTTTAAAAGTTATGTATGGCAAAGCTTAACATTTGAAGACAAAAAAGCTATTTTAGCATATAGATCACAGTCAAGGTCACAAGGTTATTATGTTCGCCAAACGAATTAAGTTGGGGAACATATTGTTTTTATTCTGTTTCTTCTTAATTATTTTTCCTCTTCCTGGGAAAATTTTGTCCAAGATCTTGTAAAGTACACATCTGACTAAGGTAAAACCTATTTAGGGTCAGTAGGCATGTTATGTAGATTTGCCAAATGAAGGTCATTTTGCGCGCACATGCTTGCAAGAGCGTGAACGTGCAACACGTGAAATGACCAATACTCTGTATAATGAACACATGATGAATACAGTCGTAATTTTGTCAGTTTTGATGAAATGCTTTGAAACTCGTAATGTAAGGATACATTAGTATAGTATAGACAAGATGACAATGGTAGCAAGATCTCAAGCGCATGCATGCACTTGCGCTTTGCTCTGATTGGCTGAAACTTACATCTCTATATCTTTGTTGTTTTTTGATAAAATCCTTTAAAATTTCAAACATAGACATACATTAGGGAGATCTACTACCTGATGTATAAGAATTGTCATGAAAGCATGTGCATGTATGTGTACTTGCAAGAGTGTGTACGTGCAACATGAGAAATGTCCAATATAATTGATATAGACGTATAACTATTTAAATTTTTGATGAAATGCTTTGACACTCATAATATATTTAAGGATATACATGTATTAGAAGATAAACAAGAGGACATGGTCAAAATGGCAAGACCTCACGCGCACGCACGTGTGCTTTGCTTTGAATGGCTGAAACTAAAGTATCAATATTTTTCTTGTTTTTCGAAAAAATCCTTTAAAATTTTGAACATGGTTATACATTAAAAAGATCTACAGCATGATATATAAGAAATATCATGAAAAGCATGGCACGCACGTGTGCTGATTGACTGAAACTTTAAATCTCAATAACTTTCTTAGTTTTCAACGAAACGGGAATTTAGGATATGAATGGGTGTAATTGATTCCTTCATTATGGTACTATCAAACTGAATGCACGAACATGCATGCGTGTGCGTGAAAGGCGCAAAATGATCCTGAAAAACAGTAACATTTATATTTTTATGATTTTTATTGATTCTCATGCACGATATAAAGTTATGTAAATGGTTTAGACAACATGTCATAATTTAATCATCTTGCATCTGCATACAATGCGTTAAATAAGTTATAGTTGATAGCATTGTAGCCTTTATAATTTTTTGATGAAATCCTTCGATCGATACTAATAATATTTTTTAAAATGTCTTACATGCAGGAATAAGGCATAAAAAGGAATTTGGGGATCGTTTCGGGAACATCTGTAACGGTCCCCGTTACAATTAACACTAGTTGACATTGGTATTATTGGAAAGAGCTTAAATAGTATATATAGCCAGTTGTATACGGGAAGATCCGGGATTCTTGATTCTTGTTTTCGGGACATGCATCCTGATATTTCTTACGACAAAAGAAAAAAAGTTGATACATGTACCGGTAAACACAGTATATGTCAGTCATTAATTAATTTATTATTACAACTTATTTGCATCATTTATCTTTGCAAAATTCCTCAAAACTTTAAAATTAGTAAATCCTTAAGTAATTGACATGTATAAGTAACTCTTTTAATTATTTTAGTAAGTGTTAATTACTTATCTAAACAAAATTCAGTAAAGAGGAAATACAAAGTAAATCAATTCTTTAAAATAAAAAAATCAAGTAAAACATTTCAATCTAGTAATTCACATATGTTTTAGTAATTGATTTAAATTTTTAAGTAAAGGCTTAGTAATTATCTATTACTTATCTTTGTTATTTCAAGTAAAAAATGACTACTAAGTAAAACTTTTTTAAGAGTGTAACCGAAGATATATAATTATACAAAGCACTTAGGTCATTTGATTTAAAGACACCAGGCAGGTGTCATATTATTATCTGTATATATTGCATTCAATCATATCCCTAGTGAAACTCGGTAATCCGAGCACGGACCTACTGACCGCTCAGATCCGACACGTTACAGTAGTACGTTGCAATTGAGTGTCAATCTTAAATCTTTATTTCCGTTTCACTGCTTTAGTGTAACTAGGCTAGATACGATATGTAATGTGTATAATGTGTTACATATACTTTCTTAACGTCGATATAAAATAAAGGCGCTAAGAATGTTTTATTTTTAAAATTTAATTGATGCTATCATACCTATCTAATAGATCAGTCCAAAGAAAAGGCGCGAATATTTACTCGTGGCGTTTGGCGCGAAATTATGAATGCTTTTTATAATTCTTAGACAGACTGTTGCAAAAGTACCGTGGTATACACAAGTATATTTAGAGCAGTACTCCCAATAGCTTAATGGTTAATGCGTTGGGGATATAAAAGTAAAAAAAAAAGTGCATTCACGTTGGCGACATGGTTTCAATCCTCCTTGTGACCAACATTTTGAATCTCTTTTCAGTTCGATTTTACGTGGGTTTCTTTTCCTAAAACGGACGGAAGACCTCTCGTTGCTCGAAACGAGATCATATCTAGTTATTATTATTTTCCTGACCATCTAATTTTGTGCACGCGATTTCTCGAAGACTACTGGATGGATTTTCAT